TAAGCATAGTCGTTCTTTTATTACATCCAAGCATGGTTTGCTCTATGATCACGTGACTAAAAAATCTTCTCGCTCTGCTCCTGCTCTGCTCCAGGAGGTATTTTTTCAAATGTAGCGTTAGTGTATAATGCCACTACCACTAAACGTTACTACAGATCATTGCGATAATATATTCAAGGTTTTACTTTCAAATTTTGACAAAATATTCTTTAAATCATATTGAGTGTGATTCATTTGAAATATTCACTAGTTTGAAAATTAATTCTAGTTTTACAGTCGTAAGCAATAAGCCATAAGCTGAATATACTATACCATTATAATCAATTAACACTTTTTTAATTAACGTTTTGTAAAAAATCTCGGAATACACAAATGCATTTATGGCTTCTCTGGCACCAAAAAATAGCGGCTAATCGAATTTGGTCGCAATCCTCTGCGTCGGCCTTAAATACGAATTACGCGTCTCTTCTCTTTCCTAGGCTAATGTTAATATGGCACTATTAGATTAGTCTTATCGGCTTAAAAATACTTATCGGTATAATATTAGGGAATAATACAGCACGGGAGACAGCGCTGCAAATGAAAAAATAATTTAATCAAATTTGATTTATTGTTTAAATGCTTCTTTTCAATAAGCGTCAGCTACGCCAGTAATGGTGGATATGGTTGTGGGAACATTCCAAAATATGTAAAAAAAAAAGGTTCCATCAAACTTGAAAATTTGTAGGACGCAATTTTCAATAATATAGAATTCCAAATTGCTACATTGACAATGATGGATTGATCATTCTTCATTTAAGCACCCTTACAATGTATTGAAAAGTGGAGATACAAACTTATTTCATAAATCATGAAACTTATATAGCGTGTTTATAAGCTCCCAATGTACATAGACAGTTGGTGACATATGGAAAACATTTTTATTAATTTTAGAAAAAAGTTTTTCCCCTAAAAAAGTTGTGCATGGTCTAAAACCTAAAATTTGAAAAGCGTTCATAAAAGCCATCATACATTTCAAAAATCAATTATTGTAATAATAATGAAGTTAAAAGAACGATAGAAGAATTTGTCTGCAGGATGTACGGAAAAGCATAAATGACGTTAATGTAGCACGAGTAGCTACTTTTATGAAAGCATACAAAATGAATTTTAAAACAGATGCTTTTACTTTTAAATAGAAAATTGATGGAGCAAAATTTCCACCGTATAAATCAGAACTATTCAACACATTTTACGCACATCATGTAGTTCACTTCGACTCAATTTTCCCACCGAATAAAAAAAGAGCATGTACATTTTTAAATGTGTTGAAAATAGAGCAGGTATTATTTTTAATTTTATTATTTTGGATGAAAAATATAGACAAATATACATACATATTATTACATATAGATGTAAATGTAATTACGATAATCAAATGTATTTTGTCTATAGACGACAACGAACCAAGTGACGTAACTGAGGAAGCTGAAAATGAAGAACAAGTGTAGAATGAGATAGAGGAAGAGCAAGCTAAAGAAGAAATGCTGTCTATTGATAGTTCTAACGAGAGCGATTATGAGTCTAACACGACAACAGACTCTACTTACAAAAATTGAAAACATTATTATTCAAAACTCTTATTTTTTTAATTAATTATGAGCAAAAATAATATTTGCAACATCTCTTCATTTATTTATATTGAAAAATTATCATTTTACATATGGGGTGAGATTAAATTTTTTTACACAATCCATGAGTCTTTTATTTGCACAGCATTTCGTGGGAGTCTCCAGTGGCGGTTTGCCCGTAAGGGCACTTGGGCACGTGCCCTAGTATAATAATAATAATAATAATAATAAAAAAAAAAAAATAACTTACATATTTTATATTTTCCTCAATGCCTATTATTATTTTATCTAATATTCAGCGCAAACCGCGTTGCACGACAGAATTCCGAAACTAAGATGGGCACAGGACACAGTAAATATGTGCCTCTGTTGTTTTATCTCTCATTATGATGCGAAAAATAAGGACAACGACAATATCGCTTAGCAAGAGATGAACACATGCGATGGATTATACGTCACAAGCAGGGCGCTGTCCCATGGCACAGATTACCTAGACCAGATACGAATGTACGTAGCGGCTTCTTTACCGGCTACCTCACAAGGCGATGAGGTGCGCGTTTGTTGGACCATGATAATAATTTATTTATTGTGATTACGAAAAAACGTTAGTTGGACCATTAGAATAGTTAAGAAATAAAACTACAAAGAAAAATAACTTTTTTTCATAAAGCAGTCAAAAATATGATGAAAAAAAAATCAATAATATTTATAAATGGGACAAAATTTTAATTTTTCTTTTGGTTTTGTCTGACTTTTTCGAGGATTTCAAATCTCTGTTTTCTTATAAATAATTTAATGGTGTACATTTTCGCAAATTGTTGGCAAGGATGACCAAATTCTATTTTGCTCATCTCAAAAAGGTATGCGTTGGAAATTCCAGGCTTAGTTGACAAACTATCAAATAGAGATATAAATATTTTTTCTAATTTGAAAATATAAAAGAAATTTTTCGCTGGGGGATTTTAAATTGCCAAACACCTTTTCTTTAATGTAATGATTTTTTGATTAAATAGCCACATACATAGTTAAATGCATTTTGAGTGGTCACATTTAGCTCCCTGTAGTCACATTCAGAAATCTGGTTGTTTTGAAATATATATAATTTTCATTAAGCGGAGAACTTGTTTTCCTAAGGGAAAAACGAATCCCGGGATTCCTTTCCAGTGTGTGCCCCACTGCCGCTAGTGCCCAAGAGCCGCCACTGGGAATCTCAGGGGAATTGAAAGCATTAATAGGAGGATTTTATTCATTACAATTTTTATGGATCGTCTTTTACACGTGTATCATACGATGATATGAACATTCTGGTTCATAACTTTTAAGTTTGGCAACCTATGACATTTCGTTGACGGCGTCAAGTGACAGCTTAAGTTTTATTGTGCTTTTTTGTGTTTTTTTGAGATTTTCGAGAATAATTTGAACATTGAACTGTTTAATAAGAACATTTAGGATGGTGAGGAAATGTGTAGTGTGCCAAAATATTTGTAATAAGAATGTTAAGCGGTAATTTCATAGTTAAGGTTTAACTAAGTATAGACGGTGGTATATATGGAATAAGCTTGATTTATTTAACAAAGTAATGGTATCTACAAATGTCGCTGATTACTGTCCTAAAAGAGTTGTCATACCGTTATAGACAACTCTAAAAGTAGGTGTGACGTGCAATCCAAAGAGAAAGCCGAGAAATATTGGTCAAAATGATTTTATAATAGTTAGAATTTTTATATTCAATAGTTTAAATACTTAATTCTATAAAACTAATCATCAACTGACGATATAATGAGGAAAGGACATCAGCTGACGATATATTGGGGGAAAGATCGTCAGGTGACCATATAATGGGGGAAAGATCGTTAGTCAGTTAATTAATTAAATTATGTAGGCTGAAATCCCAAGCGCGCTCGAAATCTAAGGTTCTCCTAGGCTGACGATCTAAGATCTTACCCCCACTAGAAAGCAAATCTCATTATTATTTTCATTAATCTAATGATATTATAAATACGCCCATTGTCAATCTAGTTGACTGTAATTTTTAATTCTGTACTATTCAAAAACATTGGTTCTACAAATTTTCAAGTTTAGTGAAACGACTGTTTCGATTACTAACTATATTCAAACAATTATTTCATCAAAATTATTATTATTTGATGAAATTCACCGAAAAATTTCAACGCTGTCTCCTACACTATTATTTTTCTTGTTGGGGTTTGGTAGATTAAGTGATCAGTCTAATTAAAATTACAATTTTCTGGCAATAGTTCATTACAGTAACGATGATTTGTTAGTTAAATAAAAAGTCGAAGTTTGTAAAAAAATTATTGTAAATTATATATAATAGCATAGTTAATACTTTTTTAGTTTTTAGTTTTGTATTATTTGGTTAAAAAAATGTTTAATAGCTAGGTATCTATAATTTAAAAACATATATTTTGTCCTATTTCATAATTAATTCTGAAAACCTTTAATATCCGAGTATTAAGAAACTATTGCTTTGCCAGTATAAATACATATACGAGTAAATTGAAACAATACGTTAAAAAATATGAAGACTTAGAATTCGAACCAATTATAGAAGAGGGCGGTAGCATTTGTGCATTTTTAACGTATCTCATTACCTGGTTATGGTATTAGTGAATGACTGACTTACCAACAGTATTTGACATCCCTATTTCTTATGTTTACATTTTGATCCTTCATGTCGATGCACAAATTTTTCTACATGACTAGAAGAATCTAAGAGAAAATTATCCGTAATCACTGATATTTTAATAGTACTCCTTATTCCATCGTCGTTTGAAAAAGACCTGAAAACCATTGGTCTGAATGCCACTGAAAGATGACGACTACTGTCAATCTACTTTTCTATTATGCCTATTTAAGATTTCCTACTTCATCAATGTTGGGTTTTGTGTGGGAAATAGAAATAAATATTGGAAGTTATGAAGGATTTCGGACCATCACGGCCGAGATTTTTTAAAAAGAATAATTAGGGATTAAAACTAAAATGCTTAGGTAGGATTATCCTGCCCTTCATTCACTGTTGCGTTCAAATTACCAGTAATTTTTTCTTAAAGTGGATCAGAAAAGCAGCAAAATAGCCTACAAATCGAAGCTATTTACCATATAACAGTCGAAGTATTTAAATTTTTACCAATTATTTATAAACTTAACATTATTAAATTTAATACCTTTTCCTTAGAAATCAGTTATTGTTTCCTCAAAATTAAATCCAACTTTGACAGTTTCATTCTACGTGCACCTAACACTTCGTGAACAATTCATATTAAGGATCGATATGACAAAGTGTTGGGGAAAGGTTTTCACTTATACTAAATAGAAATAAAAACAACCACAGAAAAATATTTTAAATATTGGAATACTACTAGATTTTTAAGAAATTTTTGGAAAGGCATTTGGCGATTCGGGAGATTGGTGATCATCCTGAAACAAATTTTAAGTTTATTACAAAAATAGATAAAATTTGTCGTACGTAGAGAGTGCTCGGTAGACTATGCCTTTTATACGTAGGTACTAAAGGATTATTACCTGGGACACAACACTAGATCTATTACTGGATAGTCCTAAATCACTGGTGAATGGAGTTCGTAAGGTAGGTTCGGTACCACTAGGTTCGTGTGGATCAATACTTGTACTTAAATCCACCGAAGAATCACTGAAATTGACAATAAATAATGTATATAATAACAAAAATAATTTAAAAACTAGAATTAAGATATATAATTCTTGGCATTGTATATTACAGTCTTCACAGTTTAACAGACCCCCTTCTTAACCCGTCATTTTTATTCAGATTTTTTCAGAATCAATAGGCTTCATCTTCTTATAGAGCTTGATTTTCTACTAAAAATTTCAAATCGATATCTTTTTCGATTGTGATTTATTTTTTGTTGTTTTTTTGTTCCCTTTTTGCTTAACATTTCAAAATGATATCATTTTTAGTTTTTGAGTTTTTTTAAACATTTTAACCCCCTCTTAACTCTCTCTTAACCCCCCCCTACCAATCAAATTGAAATCTTAAGGAAAAATCAGTAAGGGGACGAAGTCTATTGATTCTGAAAAAATCTGAATAAAAATGCGGGTTAAGGGGGTCTGTTAAACTGTGAGTATAATATAAAATTATTAATCGATTTGGATCAAATTTGGGACAAACTGGAAAAACATGTTGCCGGGGATCCGCTTACGAAAAAGATGATCATGATGATGATTCTTAATATAGGCATTTTTCTTCGATGTATAATTACCTTCGTGCTCATTCTTTTTTGGTTGTGAACAGCTCGGTTCTTGCCCCTAAGTGAGAAAATTCCAACCATTGCATTGTCGTGCTTGTCTTATTTACCACTGAATCCTCAGATATATCCAAATATAGAATATATTTATGTTTAAATGGAGAAATTAGAAAAATATGTATAAAAAGGTTATGGAAGAATTCCAGATGCACCCTAGTAGGTGGAGGCCATAATTCTAAGGAAGGAAGAATAATTTACTTAAATCTATTTAAGATTAAGTAGCTAGTACTCACCTAATAGGAGATGAGGACTCCAGGTAAAAATATTTGGCATCTCTGCTAATGTTCAGAAAGATCTTTAAAGAAGATATTCCAACCACCAAATTTAAATTTGCTTTGACAGTTAAGTTGCTTTGTATGAACTAACATCCTTCAGAATCATTTCACGAGTGGGATCTAGGACTCCCATACGGATTGACCCTTCCTGGACATAGCAACATATAAATGAAGATATTGATGCAGAAGGGACTGTACAAAGACAATTAGCCTTTAGAAACTCTAAGCAGAAATGTCATTGGTATTTTATCAGAAATTCTGGATCATACACATCAAAACAAATAACTTTAAACCAACCTGAGAGTCACTGAAAGGTAATAGATTATGCGATAGATGCTACAAAAAATGGTGTCCCAATTATCTGCTTTATATTTAAAAGGCAAAAACAGTCATAAGGTCTAAGTACCAGCAATAAAATCAAAGAAACACGCTGGGTTAAGTAGCCAGTACTCACCTAATAATACTTCTACAATCAGAAACAGAGACATCAAGTTTAACTCTATTCGAACAATCAGGAACATTTTTTTCATCATCAACATTCTCGTCTTCCAGAAGAGGCAACTCGTCTTCCTGGACAGCTTCTTGGGATTCTTTAGCGCGTCTCTCCCTTTCTTTGGCGTTCACCTCGTGACATTCACACTTGCATTCGTCGGGATTTACGTAATTGTAGACCACGCTATCTTGTAACACGCTCTCCGGTACTTCTATGTAGCTGCGAGAAGGAATGGTTTGGATTCGTTTGGGAGCCTTGCGTTTTTCTGGTATATCTTCGAAATTGATCCAAGACTTTTGAACCCCTTTGGGAGGTAGTGGTGGAGGGGTCTCACTTGGAGTCGATTTCGTGGTGATTCCTTTTTCAGCAAACTCAAACCAGTTCGTGTTAGAATCCTTCTTCCTGGGCGACTTAACTTTGGCTTTATCAAAAGATTCGTTTCTGGGTAACGATATCTTTAACTTTTCTATTGTTTTGGTAACGCTTTCTATGTTAAAACTTCCCATGACTTCCTCGCAGTACTCGTCTAAGCAGCTAGGATTAATAGGAGTTGTCGACCGAGGTCTTTCTATGGGACAAGTCTTGATCTCGAAAGTAGATCGTTGTTTAATAGGTACTATTGGCAAAGCAGCTGATCTCTCCTGTGGCAGTGTGGTCGGTATGTATGGCAATTCATCTTCGAATGAATCTTGTTGTAGCACTATAGCTTTCCTTTCGAGTTCCGATATATCTAGGTCAAGTTTCAATTCGTTTTTTGTTTTAGCGTTATCGTCAACTTCTTTTTCTGATTCTGACGAGTTGTGATCCTCCGTTGTTGAGCTTATTTGTGAGCTTATAGTGCTAGTTGCGCCTACAGATACTTCCGATAATCTTTTATCTTTGACGTTATCAAGTTCTTTCAGTTCTAATTCTTTGACGCTAGTGATGGATTTGGTTTTCAGTGGTTTTTGTCGTTCTTGTAACCTTGATATCCTTTCTCTTGAAGATTCTCTACTAATCCTTTGAGGCTCTTTAATTTCTTCGTGCGGCTCAACTATTGGTTCTTGGATACCATTAAGTACTTTACCTTCCTCGCTATTGCTTTTCTCTTTCGGTAATTTCTTCGGTAACTTTGTTGTAAAAACTTCGTTATCACTACCTAATTTCGTTGAAAAAACTATATTTTCGCTACTAGTACTGCTTTGCCTACTAGGTTTAGTAGCGCTCTTTTCAAGAGATTTCTTTTCTACGACTACCTCTTGTTGAGGTACTTTTTCGAGAACGACATCGACATTTTTACTAACGTTTTCTATAACAGTGTCTTGAGAATCTTGACTGGATGTCTTCCAATCTGACATAGTCCTATTTTCGTAATAAGTAGGAGAGTGTAACGGGATGCGTACAGTGGCGCAATCTAGTGGATTTTCGTAATAAGTCTGTTTGGGTTCATTAAACTTAAATTCTAGTTTAGCTATTCCATCGCTACTGCGAACAGTTTCTTGGGAACTTGTTTCCGATTCAGACTTTAGTTTATCCTTCTTATTGGATTTGAATAAAGATAGTACCGATTTATGCTTGCATTTGCTGTCTATGCTTTCTGTAGAAGATGGTGCTGTAGAGAGTGACGATTTGTGGCTCTCTCTATCCCGACTTTTAGACCTACTCCTACTCCTGGTGCGTAAATTATCTCCTGCTTCTTTTAGAATGCCTGATATCATATTTTTTCGTCTGCTAGTGCCTGGTACTGAAGGTGATTCGGGACTCATTATACCGTCTTTGTTTTTGAATAGAGACGCGAAAGAAGATCTCCTCGAGACTGAAGGTGACGGAGTGATGTTCTCTACAGGACCTTCTGCGGTTCCGGCAATTATTTTTGGGCTTCCATTTGTAGCTGCTGAGCATATTCTATCGGTTTCTTGTATATAGCTTATTGTTTTATCTAATTTGGTGCTTTCGTGATAAATTGCATCTTTTTGAATCGAATCAAGCTCTAGAGTAACAGGTTTTTGAATTTCTGGCGTTGGTGATTCCTCCGAGTAGCATCTGTCTGGTTTTAACTTTATTCTGATGTATTTAGGTTCTTCTTTTTTTGTAGATGAATGAGAGGGCGTGGGTGTAGCTGACTTACACCTCGGTTTTGCCTCAGGTACTTTAGATTTGCAATTTGTTGTGGTTTTAGATTCATAGTTTGCAGATTTGACTTCTCTAAGTTTGGCTTTGCTTTTTGGTGGACCTTGTGCTGGTTTAGGAAGATCTGGAGGTAGTGGGCCTTTTAGTGGAATGTAGTAGTACTCAACACCACTTTCAGAGACAAATCGGCTTTTTACTTTATTTGTATTATTGCTTTCGGTTTCCGATTGATCTACTGTTATGGTGATATCAGTTTTCTGCATTTCCTTGACCTCTTGTTTCCTTGCTGGTTTCTCTGGTTGAATCTTTGGAGCTAGTGGTTGTGCTTTTTCTACGGAAATTCCTGAAAAATTAAGATTAATTTATACGTAGCACATTGTAAATATCTAATACTGTACCTTCCGCTAAGATGGCTTCAGTTGGATCATGTTTTCTGGATAGTAAAATTTTTTCCATTACTTCACTTTCGACTTTGGTCCCTGAATGATCCTCATCAATTTTCGCTGCTCCTTCTCCTGATTTTGTGCCGCAAAAGGACGTCTCCAGTAACATCTTGTGAGGCGAGGAGCACCTTGATATTCCAGATTGGCCAGATAGCACTGATATATGGCTGGCGTTCGACAGACGACTTTGATTAGAACCCTGACTTCCGATGCTTGATAATCTGGACGTCCGACCCGATATGGAAAGTAAAACTATATCCGAGCACTGCGAGTCTTTCCTTAGTGCCGTCGGTTCGTCTAGAATGGATGGTGATGCGGGTCGTACTTTGCTACTTCGTCTTCTTTCCATTGTAGACATATCTTGAAAGTCTAGTTCTTCGGTGGAAGACCTTAAATCCAGGGCACCGTCTTCTTTGAAACCTGAAATATTAGATATCAATACGCTTCTCGTTATTACGTTATGATCTAAGTTTTAATTATGAAACCGTATAAGTTATCCAGGCGCTAGAATTTGAATGGCCTAGTATATTTGATGTACAGTAGATCAAACATACTTAGATGCCATCAATTTGAGGGTAATGTACTGCTTCTTATAGGTGCTATGAGCTACTAAAGAATTGATGACAAACTATACAAATTTCACGCATCATTTCCAAAGAAACAACAGAATGTTCTTAAAAAATGCTCACCTCGTGGTATTACCCTTGATAAGATACCTATATGTGGGTGTAGAAAAAAGTAATTTAGAGTTTTCCTTATTAAATATCTTACCTAATCCTAATTTGGCACTATTAGGATCATGAGTGTCATAGATTTCCCTCTCAGGACTGCTATCTTTACTATCATGATGAGAGGAGCTACTAGCTCTGGAAATATCAATTCTCGGAGTAGCAGGCGGTTTGATGTTATTCTTTTTAGATGGCTGAGTAGGCAAATGAGCAACTGTGGTAGTTGTTGGAGCACCAATGAGACTTATTCCTTTAAGTGGATATGCTGGAGACGGCGATCTGTCAGTCATTGCTGGAGTGGTAGGAGTGAGATCTTCTCTGATGCCTGGCAATCGTACCACGGAACCAGCTACGTTCTTTTCTTCTGGACTTTCAAGCTGGAAAACGAAACTGGATTGCCAAAAGAAGAAATATACAATTTTTTCGATTGTTTTAAAAGTTCGATTTCATATTTAATCAAATGATTGATCTCTACATATTTTTGTCATATTTGATGAAGCTATAGAAAAGAAGAGTTTCTACTCATTAAACAATTTCAGAGTCTCTTATTTGACTTATTTTTTAAAATATATGTAGGTAATTAATAAGAAAAAAATAAGTGAAATATGTTTAAAATATTAGAGAATCAATCGTTTTATAGTAACATAATTCGTCATCTTAGGTAGAGTGTTTCATTGGGAAAAAGACATACGTTAATCATAGGAATCACCAAGATGGTTATAAAAATACCATACTTATCAGAGTTAAGATATACCGAGTTAAATAAAAATTGAAACTGAGCTATATTTTTTTAAGTTAAAGTTGTGAGATTAAACAAAAATCGTAAGCAATAAATTATTTTAAAATTTTTACTGTAAGTAAGTAAAGCTAAATAGTACGATTTAAATAACTTTTGTTGTGAATTTAAATGTTTACTCGAGGCTAAATAAGTTTTCTGGAGTTTTAATTTTTGGTGCACTGGAACAAGCGAGGATAGTACAGGAATTTAGAGCAATAACATTTGCATATTAACCGTCCTGGATTTCTGAATGAATTATAAACTTTTTATACATATTAATTTCAAACTTTCAAGCTGTTCCAATGCGGTTTGTTAGTTACAGCCTTAGAAAGAAATTATCAATATCGAAAGAACATCACATATTTATCTTATCCCAATTATAGAGGATGTAAGGCCTCAGATCATTGCTCATTGATCCCTATAACGTATGTGTAAGTCCCAATGAAACAGCCTCTATGCAGTATGTTTGATATTCGAGTATTTCGCTTATTATAAGATATAAAAGTTCGGTTAAATGAGAAATGTTATAGAGAATTTGTTGCTGGTCTCAGATCTGTAGTTTTTAAAAAATATAAAAATGGCAGATTTTAAATTTTAAATGGCGGCTTAATCGTTAATTTGACATATTCTAAAATATTGCATTCTTGAGACATTTTTAAAAGGAGAATATTTTTTAAAAACAACTTTCCGATTTCTTTTCAAATTGTTGCCGTAACTTTGTTATTTCTTATAGCTGCCATATTATATTTTTACATAATAGTATTTCCCTCTAATTTACCTTTTTAACGATGTGCTATATTCTATCCAAATTTCTAAGAATTATCTTTAATTTGGCAACACCGTATCCATCGTATGCACCGTATCCAAAATAGTTTGTGGTACACATAAGTGAATTCGTTTAATAACAAGCGGGTGATATTTTTTTGTCTTAAGTAGGTAATTTTTATTCTCCTAGTCTAGTCAACAAGATATTTATTAAAGCATTTTTGAGCATACAGTCAAATATAATAATAAAATAATTAAAATAAAATGTAAACAAATTTATAAATTCTATTTTATGTTTATACATTAGCTCTACCAAAACCATTGCAATGCTGTGTAGGTATATAAAGCCTGGTTTACATTGTTTTAATTAGTAGTAGAGTACAGTGATAGAGTGCATACTAATGTGCTATTAAAATAATGTAAATAGTTTGTGCTAGTAGAGTACTTTAGATAGTGCAGGAAAAAGTAGAGTACATAGCACGTGCGAATAGTACACTCTACTCTACCCTACCGGTTTTTTGGTTTACTATACCAATGTAAACAGACATTCGATAAGCTTCTTGTTCATTGTCACACAAAACATGTTTTATTTTAAACTTAACTATACTTTTAAATTGCTGAAACGTGTATACAGTTACTCTATCTAAGTGGGTAGAGTATTCTAAAAAAAAAGTGTGCTATAAAACTCTATTCAACTTAAACACAAGTAACGTGTAAACACAATAGCCGCTTGACCACAGCATGATATGCACAAGCCCGACTGGTATTGGCCCAGTGATCCGATTTTGAACATTTCGTTACCCACTAGCACAGCAGGTGCCACTAGTTCAATGTGCTGTGGTCAAGGAGCTATTGTGTTTACGCGTTACTTGCGTTTAAGTTGAATAGAGTATAGTTAACTTTACTACCAATGTAAACCTGACTTATGGTCTAGATAGAAAAATATTAGTAATTTAATTATTATCAAATATTTTTTGCAATTGAGTAGAGAAAAAAGAAACAAATTAGAATTAGTAGTTAACAAATACGAAAATTTAAACTTATTTTTTTTTTTAATATTACCAATCTCAAATAATATTAAAAATGACTTGGTTTATTCCTATTATAATACTAAAAGACTGAATATCTTCGGTGGGCCATGATTATTTCAGGTATTTTTACATGGTGAGCCAAAATAGGCAATATTAAAATAAATTAATTTTGTGTGCTATTTTAGATAGACGTGATGTTGCCAAATTAAAGAAAATATTAGGTTTCTAATAATATGAGGATATTTTTAAAAATTTGGATGACATGTGCCACATATTTAAAAAAATTATAATAATTTATAGGGTAAGAAAATTATGTGAAAATCCAACGGGTGCCATACGAAATAATAAAGTTACGGTAGGTAACTAGAATACAAAAAAAAAATTTGGATTTTTTTACATAAATATTCTCCCATAAAAAGCGTCTTAAGAATGTAACATAACTTTAATTTATTAAATCAAAATTTGAAATATGTCAAATTAACGGTTAAGGCGCCATTATAAAAAAATACAAAGCTTTAAATAATTTTGAAAACGTATCCGAAATAAATCAAATTATCTAAAACACCTCTATCTCTTATATTAAACAGTACCACTACCACAGTACCACGAATTTTGAACACACTGTATATAAATAATATCGAGTCTTGAGTAGATATTGTAAAAATATAAAAAAATATTTAATTCATCAATAATAACTGTTTGTAGCTATTTATACAGTTTGAAGACTAGATATCACTAAAGTGGACCATTTTACAACAATTTCGAATGCTCTTGCTTAATATTTGTCAGGAAGTTGCTTATAAAAGTTGATTTGGAACATATCTGACAGTTTTAACCTTCAATCCGTCAAAAATCACCTAGAGATTCAAATATTACAAATACGATACATTAGTGATGACGTAATTAGTGTTCCACTGACAGTGACTGTGTCAGAAATATAAACAGAGGTTCCAAAATTGTATTATTTTCAAACATGATAAATAATTTGGTTATAAATCTTTAAACTATTCTTTTGAACCTGCAATACTAAAAACGAATATGTCAAATTCAATGACCGTAGAGTTTGTTTTTGTTAAAAGTTAACTATCAGTGGAACACAAATAACGTCATACTAATATAGAGTATTATTACAGGAAAAAGAATAAATCAACGATAATAGAAGATGACATCTGCACATGCGTAGAGTACATCTATGGAGGGTAGAAAAAAGGAGGACAATCTTATATGGATCTTTATATTAAAAAGTGGCCACCAAAATGTATGCAATTAAGATTGCGCTCGTGTAGCCAGGGGACAAAATCCAATGCTATATAGTCATATAGATTGCTCATTCATAAGAATTATTTATTGTTTATATTATTATTTTTCAATAAAATTTGACTATTGTCGTGTATTGTCAAAATTTATCTACGATCACAGAACACTTACTCTTCTACGATCAGTCACTTTTCACGGTGTAGTTTTTAGTTTTTTATGGTTGAGCAATATTTATTACTATATACATCATTGGTGTCATTGTGTGATCTGAATTATCGACTGTCGACGTCCCCTGGGCACAGAAGCGCCATCTTAATTGTATACATTTTGAGAGACACTTTTTGTATACAGAGATTGTTCTCCTTTCCTCTACCCTCCATAAGTACATCTAATGTACGGTGTATGATAAAGACGACACAACTATTTCTATGACTAATATTTTTTCCTAACACGAGTAAAAATCTGCTAGGTTAGCTCGTATCGGGACGGCAACGGTAAATATAATCTGTATCTGTAATGTGTGAATGGTGGGTTAACCCACGGCACTTAGACCTCACTAGGCCCATTGTACATAGGTACTCCTAAATCGATAGGCACCTCCTAGCTCGTGAGCCAACCTACAGATTTAATGTAGTTAACGTCACCAAGAGGTGCTTCTCTTATATCGATCAGTGTTAGCCGATACTTGCAGACCGCAAATCTTCTAATAAATGAGAGCGTCATGCAATTATAGAGAATATACTACATGGTCTAATCTTTTTGTTTGTACACCCTGCAGAGTGCGGATTCTAAAAGGCCCATGCAATGGAGATGCTTCCGTACATGGCAAATGATCAGTCGGAATGCCTGTGATCTGGCGCAGATTCTGTCTAGTCATTTGTTTGCTGTTATGTCGTCATGATAATTTAAAAGCTCCTGGCAACTCTGCAGTTTCTTGTTTCATCCTATCTTTCCTTGAATTTCTCAAGGGAATGTTCGTTAATTAGGTCTGTCACTACCGATGTTGTCAGTCCAATAGAAGAACCAGGTTCCAAAATATTTGGTTGGCTGCCTTCTTAGCTAGTGAACCTTTTGATATGGCGAGACTTTTGATACATCTTAAGGTGACCACATTGTTGATGGATATTTCGGCCAAAGCTTTGTGGTGCTTGTCGGCTATCTGTATAGATGAGCATGTTCCTTCCAGTGATATTTCACACGATAGAACCTATGGTTGCTGGTCCGAGACGTACGAACCTTGAGGAGTTTTACTGTTACTACGAGATATTTTACCATACCTTTCTTGTTATTTTTAAGTTGAAACACCTTTATTATACACCGCCGCGAACTAATGTGACATAAATAACATCTAGGCATGCGTACTTGATCAAATTAGATTGTTATAAAATGATTCTTAGTATTTATATAGACAAATTACATACATAGAAGGTGAAAATAGTTAAGAATAGAGACAAAAAGAGGTGTGATACGTACACGAGATCTCACCTCGTCTGAGAGATCCTCGAAGGAGGCGAAAGGAGCGGGGCCCATGCGCTTCTGCCGTCGAGACGACGACCCGGGTGCTGACGTGGACATGTCCCGAAAATCTACTGGGTGTTACGTGTACTGATGGCAAGCAACAGAAATGAGGGTCAAAAGTCAAACTAGAACTACACCATTAACAACTAAATGTATATAGATGTTGGTAGATGACTCATTAATTAGAACTTTTACATTTTTTTAGCCGTTTACATATTTTAGTAGGTTCCCGGAAAATTGACCTAAAAAAATGTAGTGTAAAACATTTAGTCTAATATCAATTGATCTAAATATATTTTATCTAAAAACCAATTGGTCCAAATTATATTTTATCTAAAATATCTTGGTGTAAATTGCACTAGACCTTAAAAGGCATTGGTCTAAATAACATTTGTTTTAAAATTCTAATTACCATAATTTAAATTTGTACTTTAAATAATTTAATAATAAAATTATTGTTAATAAAACTGCAAAAATTATCAACTTGATATAACATAAAATTAATATAACGTATTTTTAAGATTAAAAGAAAAAACAATAACTGAAAAACCAAGATACCAAGATATTAACATGAAAAACACAATGAAAAATAATAATAAAGATAAATGCATCAGATAATAAAGCCAAAATCTTGTGAGGAAATAGATATTTATCCTAAATCCACAGTTTCCGTTTAAGTTAAAAAGTGACCCCTAAAATGAAATACCTAATTCTTTTTAATATTGCTACCACTGCTCATGTTTTAATTATTGTTGTTATCTCTCATTATTTTTATCTTTTATGGTTTCTTCCTTCTAAAGTGATTTAATAAATCGCCACAGAGATAGTTTTACATCAAATTGTTTTTAATGAAAGAGTGCTATCTGCTCTCCCTCAATATGATTGTCAGTAGCAGTGGCGGTTTGCCCGTAAGGGCACTTGGGCACGTGCCCTAGTATAATAAACAAAAAAAAAAATAACTTTCATATTTTATATTTTCCTCAATGCCTATTATTATTTTATCTAATATTCAGCGCAAACCGAGTTGGCACGACACTGGACGACCGGGCGTTGAGCGACGTTCCGAGAATTCTGAAATTAAGTGGAAGATGATGGGCACAGTAAATGTGTGCCTCTGTTGTTTTCTCTCTCATTATGATGCGAAAAACAAGGACACAATATCGCCTAGCAAGAGATGAACGCATGCGATGGATTATACGTCACAAGCGGGGCGCTGTTCTTATCGTGACGTGCTGTACCCATGGCACAGATTACCTAGACCAGATACGAATGTACGCAGCGGCATCTTTACCGGCTTCCTCACAAAGGTGATGCCGGTTTCAGCTAACTTTTTTTTTTATAAAGCAGTCAAAAATATGATAAAAAAAAAACAATAATATTTATAAATGGGACAAAATTTTTATTTTTCTTTTGGTTTTTTCTGACTTTTTCGAGGATTTCAAATCTCTATTTGCAAATTTAAGAGTATAACAAATTCTGAGTCTAATAAATAATTTAATGGTGTACATTTTCGCAAATTATTGGCAAGGATGACCAAATTCCAGGCTTAGTTGACAAACTATCAAATAGATATATAAATATTTTTTCTAATTTGAAAAAATAAAAGAGAAATTTTTCGCTGGTAGATTTTAAATTGCCAAACACCTTTTCTTCAGAGTCGTATGCTTTAAAATGCGTTAACAAGTTAGAATTGTTAAGTAAATTGCATTCTTCTGAGAAATTTACGCAAATTTCGCAGGACTGGATATGTAATGATTTTCTGATTAAATAGCCACATACATAGTTAAATGCAATTTGAGTGGTCACATTTAGCTCCCTGCAGTCACATTCAAAAATCTGATTGTTTTGAAATATATATAATTTTCATTAAGCGGAGAACTTGTTTTCCTAAGGGAAAAACGAATCCCGGGATCCCTTTCCAGTGTGTGCCCCACTGACGCTAGTGCCCACGAGCCGCCACTGGTTAGTAGTAGGCAAGTAACTTTGAATTGTATCAAAACAGTTTCAAAGCATCTGAGTATAAATAGGAGCAGTTATAATTATTGTCCTCATTTCTAAATAAACCAAGTGTTTTGAAAAAATTCAATAAATGTTCTGGTTTCTTCTGGAATCAGGTCATAGTGGTTACATAACAATTAAAACGCTCTATCTATAAGTGTAACTAGTATAAAAGCAAAAACTTTGAATAATTTGAGCTTAAAAAATTTGCACCGGTATTAGAAAAACGTTTCAAACCCTTATTTTGTATATTTCTGTATAAACATTAGGCAAAATGGAAGTAGGAGCAATCAGCCCTTGTCCCAAATATTTGAATATATTATCTGAATCCAGTTTTTAATAACTATTTAAAATTTGTTATAATGACTAACGGTTTCCTAAATAACCAGTTTGTTCAATATTTGTCTTTTATACATTTTTTCTTTTTCTGTATTGTTAGCTAAAAGCATATAAATACATGGAACTACAATTTGCCCAATTTCTTGTTCTATAGAAAAAATAATTGTGCACATAGGGTGTAGTAAGCAAGTTATATGGAAAGTTCCATCCATATACAAAATAGAAGAATTTGATAACATATTTAGACATTCTGTTCCTGTAAGCTGATATTCTTCTGGTAATTTAACAGCTTTCAAACATAAAAGGATAGCAGAAAAATTATTTTCTTCAGACATAATATTTCTTATTGTTCTTTTCATCCTACTCATAGAAGGTAAATTAGCCAAATCTTTCACGATGCAACATTCCAAAGCAGTTGCTATAACAATTGATAGCGGAGTTTGAACAGAAGAAAAGTTGACAGAAATTACAGATGATGCTCTCGAGTATATAGCAGAATATCTTGCTAAAAAACATTAGCTGATTTTTATAAAATCTGCATACCTAACTTTAAAATCCATGTACATTGGTGGTTTTATTTAAAACAACAAAGTATGACAAAATTTTCTAAAAATAAGTGTAAACGATTTAAACTCGAGCATATTTTTTAATTTCAATATCATTTCTTTTAATAATCGTTAAACAAGTAGGTCAATCTCTTTTTTATTCAATATGTTGTGGAAAAGTAAAACCTTTTTATATAAAAATACATCTAATAAATTTTTCATATATTTGTTACATAGCACAAATAAAAATATTTCCAAGCCACATGTGATTACAATACACCCTAGTATAATATATACGTAATGATTGTTGCAATTGTCTATTATTATTCACCGATCTAGTTTTAGCTTTGTATAATTGCCATCGTGATAAAAATCTAGTGAACCTTAAAACCATACCTTATATAAATATTCTTTTGTACAATCGTTCACCGGTTAAGATTTTAGTAAACCTTTGCAATATTGGTACCTTATTATAGCTAATTTTGTCCGATCGTTCTGTGCTTAAAATATTTATTTTAAATAAAAAAAATATATTTTTTATAATTTCTCAACGTAAATCGTATTTTTTTTAATTTGGTGTTATCGGCTTCGACTACTAAGGTCATTAGCCTCATGTTCTGTGTAGGCTTTGTTGCTGTTTCCATGCGCCACTTTAGGAACAGCACTGTTAATTAGAACCCAACAATGAGTGATCGAGTGGGGAATTCTACCAAGGCATCAGAATTAATTTAAAATAATTAAATTAAATAAAAAAATTCCGGCCAACGGTGGGATTCTAACCTGGGACCCTTGGATCCACAGGCAGAGACTCTACCACTGAGCCATCCACCCCATGTAAATCGTAGTTATTTAACAAACAAAATAAATTATGAATAATTACTTTTTTTAATTTAAAATAAATATTTTTACAAGTATATAGTTAAGTTCATCCGTGAACACACTGTATAATGCTGTAGAACTAATTCACAACGTTTCAAAGCAACTTTCGGGGAAACTACCATAAAATTACTACTGTGATGTTTTCCTAACTTCACTTTGTAACATCTGTGAGATGTGCTATAAAAGTCTTGCGGTTGCGGACATTCAGCGGTTGCATGGATATTAGGGTTAAATTAAAAGTACATTGCATATAAGCTTAAAGAGCCTAAAATTGCAGCTTATTAACGTAGATGGGATGTTTTTGTGCTAGCTGGGTTCTCATTTTATCTTGGGGCATATTCCAAGTATATTCGGTCCTGAAGCTAATAGACTTTACTCCGTTTCTGTTTCTGATCGTTCTAATAGGTTTGTTCCAACAAGTAATCCATGACCGATTCCAAATTAATATCTGAGCTACTTACTGCGCAAGCGTGATCCCTACACTATTTGTGGACCGTTTTCTGATTAAATTCTTATTGGAACGCATTTCTGACTATCCAGTACTTGCAAAAAATTTATTTTTTATCTATACACAATTTACTTTTGCTTCTTCTAAAATATTTAAATCATTTTTACTTGTAGATTTAAAAGTATCTTCACACAAAATAAATAATTGATCAGAAATCCAAAACAAATGGTATATTTGCGATCTGCGTAGACTGTTTCATCCCGATACGAAATTCGTCAAAATATTTGTTGGAACAGTGTACCTACTTACAATCAGATATTTGGTTTGAAGTTTGTTGGAACGCTCAACGTAACACTGCGCATGAGTCCGGCAGTTATGTACGGATTTGGACTCTTGTTGGAACAAACCTCTATCATGTCCTTTTTGTCACATTCTCTATCATTAAATGTAGAGGAGTGAGGTCACCTCCATTGCGGCCGTAGGACAGGTTCTCATTACACCGGTGATGCAAACAGGCTATTTTACTATATACTGGATGTCCTTTAATGTCGGTTGAAAAGCAGGTATTTTTCATATTAAATTCTGATTTTTTTAATAGATAATAATAATAATAATAATAATAATAATAATAATTAATAATAATAATAATAATACTAATAATAATAATAATAATAATAATAATAATAATAATAATAATAATAATAATAATAATAATAATAATAATAATAATAATAATAATAATAATAATAATAATAATAATAATAATAATAATAATAATAATAATAATAATAATAATAATAATAATAATAATAATAATAATAATAATAATAATAATAATAATAATAATAATAATAATAATAATAATAATAATAATAATAATAATAATAATAATAATAATAATAATAATAATAATAATAATAATAATAATAATAATAATAATAATAATAATAATAATAATAATAATAATAATAATAATAATAATAATAATAATAATAATAATAATAATAATAATAATAATAATAATAATAATACACGGTCAATTTCTCAAATATTTAAATCAGCCACATGTAGACAAAGATGCCAGTATAGCGTGGCTACGTGGATCAGACCTGAAGGGAGAGACCGAAAGTTTGATAATCGCAGCTCAGGATCAAGCCTTAAACACCAGATATCACCAAAATCGAATACTTGGTATACAAATAGACAGCAGATGTAGAATGTGTGGAAAAGCAGAAGAGACAACCGCGCATATACTAAGTGCATGCACCACACTTGCTGCTACCGAGTATACTCATCGGCACAACAAGGTATCTAGTTATATACATTGGTCAATCTGCAAACAACTTGGAGGTGAAGTACCCGACAAATGGTTCGAGCATGTACCAATGCCAGTGGTAAATATACAGGAAATCACAATCATGTGGGATTACCCCATACGAACAGATCGGACCATTAACGCCAACCGCCCCGACATAGTATACCACAATAGAAAAGAAAAGATCTGTTTACTCATTGACATCGCTATTCCCAGTAATCAGAACATCATGGTTAAAGAGGCGGAGAAAATTTCCAAATACAAAGACCTTCAAATAGAAGTTCAGAGAATGTGGAATGTAAAGGCCAAGGTTGTGCCAGTAATAGTAGGGACTTTGGGGTTAATCAAAAGAGGATTTGGTGACCATCTAAAACAAATCCCCGGTAAAGCAAATGCATACGAAGTCCAGAAAATAGCATTGTTAGGGTCTGCACACATCCTCCGAAGAATACTAACCTGATATGAAGCCTAAAAAAATATATATATATTTACAACCTATTAAAATCCCAAGAGCTTTGGTAAAGCTTCGGATAAAACACCTACCCAGCTGCTCGAGACTGAGGTAGTGCAACAAAACAATAATAATAATAATAATAATAATAATAATAATAATAATAATAATAATAATAATAATAATAATAATAATAATAATAATAATAATAATAATAATAATAATAATAATAATAATAATAATAATAATAATAATACGATACGTTTATTGACCACTTTGAAATACATAAATATTTTTGAAGTCCAAATTTATAAAATAAATACAATAAAAGAAGTTTTAAAAATAAAATTACACAAGAATTAATGTACAATAAAAAATAAGATAAAACATTTTAATACTACATACAGTGTAAAACGCATTTAAGACATACAACATATTAAAAAAACAATTACGACAGAGATAAAATTTTAAATTTAGATTTGTTCAATATTAGGATAAATAGCTAAGATACTCTTCTACGGAATAGAAGCAATGTTCTAAGAGAAACAATTTAACAAATTTGTGATATTTTAGGCATGACATACTTTTTAAATTGATAGTACTGAATAGACTACTTAGTTTGTTGTATAGGTTCATATCTAATTTGTTTTCTTGGGTTGTAGTAAGCCTAGAATAATATGCAATAAGATTTTCTGCCCCTCTTGTTTGATAGTGATGAATATCACAGTGCCTTGCAATTTTAGATATATTCTTATGAATTAACAACAGAGACTCTAATATAAAAATGCAGGGCAATGGTAGGATTTTGTATTTTTTAAACAATTCCCTACAAGGTGCGCGATATTCTGATGCATCAACTATACGTACTGCGGCTTTTTGTAACTTGAAAGCTTTGTGGGCATTTCTTGAGCGGCCCCAGAGTGTTACACCATAAGATAAATTAGAATGTATAAGCGCATAATAAACTGTTACCATGACTTTATTGCATATTATTCCAGTACGAATCTGTCTCATAACAAAAAGTTGCGATGAGAGCTTAGAGCAAAGAGTTTCAATATGACTAGACCAGTTTAATCTGGTGTCAAATGTGACACCTAATAGTTTTACTGGTTCAGATTTTAGAGCAAATTTATCTGAGCTAAATAGCATGTGTTGCGTTTTGCTTTCATTGAGCTTTAGTTTATTGCTGGAAAACCAGGCTCTCGCCGTATTTAAACCATCTGTGCTCTTACACTCATCTCCCTTCGCTAATATGGTAGTATCGTCAGCGTATAAAATCACAGAGCCTATTGTATCCATAGCTGAGGGCAAATCATTAATATATAGCAGGAATAAGACAGGACCCAATATTGAGCCCTGCGGCACTCCATTTGATACCTGGGTGATATCAGAATCCATGTTGTTATAGCTGACGTACTGTAATCGACCGACAAAATATGAATGTATCAAACTTAAAACATTTCCCCTAAATCCATAAAATTCCAGTTTCTGGACTAGTATGTCACTGTTAACACAATCGAAGGCCTTGGTCAAGTCACACATTACAGCATGGATATCTGTTCGTTGATCAATGCCTTCGACTATATAATCAATGACACTAATGAGTGCCGATGTGGTAGATTTGTTATTCTGGAAGCCAAACTGAGCCTCAGACAATATAGACTTACTTTCTAAATATTTAATTAGATTGTTTTTTATGATTTTTTCAAATATCTTTGAGATAACTGGCACTATCGCGATTGGCCTGTAATTATCGACTACATCTTCGTTTCCTTTTTTATGGACTGGTACAATTTTAGATATCTTTAGCGATGTTGGCCAGTTACCTTCCTCTACGCATTTATTAAACAGAAGTGCTAGTGGTTCAACCAAGTAATTAAGGGAAGCTTTAAACATTACAGCATTTAGTCCATAATAGTCAGGACTGGGCTTATTGCGCAAAGATAAAATTGCTTCGTGAACATCCGATTCTAAAATAGGGGCCATAAAAAAGGAATAAGGAGGCCTTGGCAGATTGTTCATATGCGACAACGGATTAATTGCAAGATCATTAATACTATTTAGGATTGTGTCAGAAATAGTAGAAAAAAACTCAATAAATTGTTGTGAGTCTAGTGAGGTGCTACAAGTCGATGAATGTTTACCGTGACGCTCTTTATTTACTATGTTCCAAATTGTTTTGCTCTTATTGTCTGCTGTACTTATGGCTTTTGCGTAAGCATTCCTTTTTGCTTCTTTAAGAGCCCTCTTGTATTGTTTACGTTCCGAACAATACATATGCCAATCTTGGGGGGAGTTAGAATTTCTAAACTGTTTTTTAAGATCAAATACTTCATGTCTTAGCTCCCTTAATTCTTTGGTATACCATTTTATTTCTGGTTTTTTATAATATATTGACTTTATTGGAAAGCAAATATCTGCATTAATTTTTAATAAATCCAGAATGACATTACTACAATAATCTGAATCAGATGTATCCAAGTTATAATGAGCCCATGTAATGTTACTTATTTTATTGGCAAATTGCATTAAAGTATTATCATTTATAACTCTCTTTTTATAGCAGATATTGTTTTTTACTACAGGAGCCCTAAAAAATATAAAGTTTCCACTATGGTCCGAGACAAGGGGTTCACACACACCTACATGTAAATCATTATAATCAATATTTGTGATAATATTATCCAGGCAAGATGCCGTTGATTCTGTAATCCTTGTGGGGGTGTGAACCATGTGTTTAAGACCATAAGCAGAAAAAATATTACGAATGTCTTTTGAGTGCTCAGTGTTATCATCTAAATTCAAATTTATATCACCAACAATAATAATAGTTTTATATTTTTTGTGCCATAGATGGTCAATAAGATTGTGAAATTTATCAATAAAAATGTTCATGTCACCTTTACTAGATGACCTATATAATGTAATTATGACACAGCCTAAGTTATTGAGTTCAGCGGCACAGAATTCTGCATCAACAGGTTTACTGAATAGTGAGACATCTACACTGCGCATTATCAGATTTTCTTTAGCAAAAATAGCCACGCCTCCATGGGCTTTTCTACTTTGCCTACAAAATGAAGAGACCAAATTGTAATGTTGCAGTTTTATGACCAAATTGTAATGTTGCAGTTTTATAACATTTATACTAGTTTCATCAAGCCAATGTTCAGATACGCAGAATATATCATATGGATTTGAATTAAAAAATACATTTAAATCAACAATCTTATTAAAAATACTTCCAACATTTAAATGAAACAGAGAGCACTCAAATTCAGAAAATAATATTTTGCTTACATCGTTAACTCTAATGTTGTCATTAAGCTTTATTATTCTAGTGTCTTCTCGGAAAAAGAAACCTATTTACAACAACCTTATCGGGCCATATTTCAGCATTAAGGATCTTCTCGGATTCATTTTCGGGCACACTTATTTTAAATGAAGCATACATCTCTGGTTGTCTTGCATTTAACTTCTCGACTTTTACATTGGCAGCAAAGCCTTTCAGGTAATTAAAAAGTTCTATTTCGTCCGTCTGGGGTTCGAAATGAGTAGCGTGATAGTATCTGGGCTTATTTATCAAATTTGGTACTAAATCCGCTGCTTTGAATGGACATCCAGATGTACTTAGACCAGAGCCAGTCAATATATTTCTCCCACTTCTTTTCTGAGCAGGCTTAGGATCAGCACCGGCATTACCAAGACCAACAATATTTTGGCAAATTCGTTCAGATTCTACATTCAGCATAGCTCTGGACACTTGCTGCTTAGATATCGGCTGTTTGTCTTTGCTGATTTTACTGTTAGTAGCCGTGACGGTAGAATGAGATTTATTATTTATGGGTAGCGACTGTTTTCCATTTTTTTCCGCCTCCTGCTCCGGGTTTTTATGCTTTAAAAGCTTGATCTGCTCTTGGAGTGCATTTATAGCTATATCTTGATTTCTTATGATCAAGTCTTTTTGCTTAATAAGTTCGTCTAGATACTTTATAGTAATTTTATCAGTGGAGTTGGTCACATCATCTGATACAATTTCACTGACAGAAGTATTTTCATGATCTAATGTTACACCTTCAACCTCTACATCCGAGCAACAAATAACCGTCTCATCTTGATTGAATATCACATTCTTCATCAGTTTTAAACAGCAATTATGTGACAGCCTTCCACATTTCTTATTTAAGCCATCAGCTCCCATTTTAGGCATTTTATCAAAATTTTATTCAAATTTAATATAATATAAATTTTGCCGTGGTGGAATGAACGAAGGTTCAGATTGTAAAAACTTGGTAAAAACTTTATAAACACTGTAGTCAATTAATACGTTTTTGTGCAGAATCGGTTAAAATCTTATGATATCATGCAAATTTTTACTCACGAACAAGTCCACCTGATGAAAAGTGTTTTATTATCACACTGACACAGTTTTCACAATTTAAAAAAGTCATTAACTTTGGATTTTCACAGAGTATTTTCGGAGCACAAAATTCCACGTGTCAACAACTGCACAATTCAACCACAAATAATAATAATAATAATAATAATAATAATAATAATAATAATAATAATAATAATAATAATAATAATAATAATAATAATAATAATAATAATAATAATAATAATAATAATAATAATAATAATAATAATAATAATAATAATAATAATAATAATAATAATAATAATAATAATAATAATAATAATAATAATAATAATAATAATAATAATAATAATAATAATAATAATAATAATAATAGATAGATAGATAGATAGATAGATAGATATGTTTATTGACTTAATTACATGGTTTTTGTATTTTACGTCACAGTACAATGGTAGTAAACTATTACAGATAAAAATATAATATAAAATATAAGATAAAAATTTAAAAAGACAAATACAAATACAAAATATAAGATAAAAATTTAAAAAGACAAATAAAGTAGATACGAAACAAATACTATTTTGTAAATATAAAAAAGTCTTGAATAGAGTAGAAACAATGCTCCAGTAGGAACTCTTTAACTGTTAAACGGAATTTATTAACATTCATATTTTTAATAGAAACGTTACGATGATAGTTCACAAAGTTGTTATATAAATTATAGTCTGCTTTATTATTTTGGGTGATGTTTATCCGTGAGAAAGGGTTTACAAGATTCTCCCTATTCCTTGTAGCATAATTGTGAATACCCGTGTGTGTGGGGATATGATTTCTATTTTTGTGTATCCATAACAATGATTCCAAAATATATACACAAGGCACTGGAAGGATCCTGTAACCTTTAAACAACGGTTGACAGTGAGTTCCATATGGAGCTCCTCCAATTATCCGTACTGCAGCTTTTTGACAGCTAAAGAGTTTCTGTAGGGCACTTGTCCTACCCCAAAGTATAATTCCGTATGTTAAGTGGCTGTGGACTAGAGCGAAATATACAGTTCTTAAGGCATTTATATCTAAAACCGAACTTAATTGTCTGATAACAAAATTTTGGGATGCTAATTTCCGGCTGAGATAATAATAATAATAATAATAATAATAATAATAATAATAATAATAATAATAATAATAATAATAATAATAATAATAATAATAATAATAATAATAATAATAATAATAATAATAATAATAATAATAATAATAATAATAATAATAATAATAATAATAATAATAATAATAATAATAATAATAATAATAATAATAATAATAATAATAATAATAATAATAATAATAATAATAATAATAATAATAATAATAATAATAATAATAATAATAATAATAATAATAATAATAATAATAATAATAATAATAATAATAATAATAATAATAATAATAATAATAATAATAATAATAATAATAATAATAATAATAATAATAATAATAATAATAATAATAATAATAATAATAATAATAATAATAATAATAATAATAATAATAATAATAATAATAATAATAATAATAATAATAATAATAATAATAATAATAATAATAATAATAATAATAATAATAATAATAATAATAATAATAATAATAATAATAATAATAATAATAATAATAATAATAATAATAATAATAATAATAATAATAATAATAATAATAATAATAATAATAATAATAATAATAATAATAATAATAATAATAATAATAATAATAATAATAATAATAATAATAATAATAATAATAATAATAATAATAATAATAATAATAATAATAATAATAATAATTATATTAATAAATTTTGCTAAATTGGTTTGATTACACCATCGAAGAATTAGCAATAACCGGTATAATTACCTAGAAACGCATGCTCAACATTTTTGAATTACGAATATTTTTGCGTTTTATAATGTTCTAACGTTTTAGAACAAATATATTTTAGAGCCTACGTACAATGGTTTTAAAGCAAATCAAACTTATTTTAAATCAAATGTGTTTTAGATATTCGATCAAGAATTCTTTTAGGACTGTGGAGTTTCCTGGGACGATTCAGTGCTTAGATCGTGGACCAAGAAATACAGGATCGGCTCCAGACTGAACATGCCGCCCCCCTTGAAGTGAACAGAACTTCAAAAATCCATAGGCAAGGTGCAGATTTTGGTTACAGCTCGTCTAATTATGCCCATGGAAGTTTTTATAGACATCACTCTGACTTCGTTGTCGTGCCCTGGATGAAGTTCTACAATTCTTCCCATTCGCCAATTCATGGGTGAAGTTGAATCTTCTTTTATTAATACTAAAGATCCTACCTTCAATGCTTTAGGATCGTTGAACCATTTGGATCTTACTTGAAGGTGATGAAGGTATTCCTTGGACCACCTAGACCAAAAGTGCTGAACCATTAGTTGTATGTGTTTGTACCGAGACGATAAAGTAGCTGTGCTCGGTTTTAGAGGAGCTTCATTAATAGTATTAAAGGGTTCGCCAATAATGAAATGTCCTGGGGTCAAAGGTTGGAGATCATTCGGATCTTCTGTGAGTGGAGTGAGAGGCATTGAATTCAAAATTGACTCTATCTGTGTGAGTAAACTATAAAAATTTTCATATGAAAGGTAAATGTTTTTCATAATTCTTTTCAAATGATATTTCACTGAACGTACAGCACTTTCCCATAGACCACCAAAATGTGGGGAACGAGGTGGTATGAAGTGCCACTGAATTTTAGCATCTGTTAAAAATGATTGCAATTGATTTCCCTCTGATAGAATTACCAATTCTTGCAACTCGCGATTCGCTCCAACAAAGTTGCTGGCATTATCTGAATATATATCACTGCATAAACCTCGTCTGGCCATAAATCTTTTTAGCATATTTAAAAATCCTTCAGTAGTAAGTTCTGAAACGAGTTCAATGTGTATAGCTTTTGTGGCTAAACAAATATACATATGTAGGACTTTATATATTTTTTATTTCTAAATTTACTATCTTTAATTAAGTAAGGTCCCGCGTAGTCTATGCCCACTTTAGAAAATACTCGTGAAATATTAACCCTATTAATGGGCAAATCTCCCATTTTCTGAACAAAATCTAAAGGTTTTGCTTTAAAACAAACCATACATTTACCTAATATTAATCTAACTGTACGACGGCCACAAAGAGACCAAAATTCAGATCTTACTGTAGACAGAACTTGTTGAGGACCAGCATGCAAATTTTTTAAAAGAATGTTTAAAAGCACAATTTTAGTGAAATTACCTTTATTAGGAAGCACCATGGGAAGCATCTAATGATATATTAGAATTGGATAGTCTCCCCCCTACTCTAATTATTCCGAATTCATCTAAAAAGGGATTTAAACATTTTAATTTACTTTTACTAGCAACTACCTTATTTTTATTTAAATTATGAACTTCATGAGGAAAATATTTTAGTTGGCCTATTTTAACTAATGTATATTTGCTATTTTCAATTTCTTTAATTTGCAAAGGACCAATGATTCTGTTGTCGATATTTTCTTTTTTTATACGAGTATTATTTATAAATTTTAATAAATACGCAACTACGTGAATTAATCGTATACAGTATGGTTCAAATGAAAGGAATAAATTCATTATAATGGAAGTAGTTGGTTTTTCGAAAAAATGCTCGGACAGGTCAATTTTGTTTACTTAAAGCGCAATTTTTTAAATAATATTCAATTTTCCCCCACTTCCCATTTTTGGGCAGTGACGGCATTGACAATTTTTTTAAATAGCAACTCCAATTTTTTTTTTCTTGGTTTTGATAGATCTTGCAATTTCCTATTTGGAAACATAATATTTGAAATATCTGACATAACAATTTTTTTTGAAAAAAGTCATTTAAAGATCAAATACATAAATTTTATTTTATTTTGAAACACAATAAATGAATAAAAGATAATTATTTGTAATTAAGTGCGTAATCTAAAATAATAATAATAATAATAATAATAATAATAATAATAATAATAATAATAATAATAATAAAAAGAATTTAATGACAATAATTTTACAAATTCTTTTTATTATTATTATTTTTATTATTATTTTGTTAGATTAAGCATTTAATTACAAATAATTATCTTTTATTCATTTATTGTATTCTCAAAATAAAATAAAATTTATGTGTCTGATCTTTAAATGTCTTCTATTCAAAAAAAATTGTTATGTAAGATATTTCAAATATTATGTTTCCGAGTAGGAAATTGCAAGATCTATCAAAATCAGGAAAAAAAAATTGAGGTTACTATTTAAAAAAAATTGTCAATGACGTCACTGCCCAAAAATGGGAAGTGGGGGAAAATTTAATTCTATTTAAAAAATTGCGCTTTGAGTAAACAAAATTGACCTGTCCGAGCATTTTTTCGAAAAACCAGCTACTTCCATTATAATGAATTTATTCCTTTCATTTGAACCATACTGTATAGCAGTGCTCCGCAACCTTTCCTCATCTGAGGCACACCAAACTGCTCCCTAGAATTTCGTGGCACACCAAAATCTAAAATATATTTATAGCAGTGGCGTAGCTAGGTCGGGGGTCAGTTCACTCCATGTATACTAATTATTTATGGATGTCCAAACTACCTTAGTTTTTTTTATTGTTTTAAAATGTGAAGAAGCCCCTTTCAGATTTGGGGCATCAAAATTTTCACTCAGGACATAATACATATTTTTTTTTTATTTTTTTTTTATTCAGATAGAATGAAAAATACAAATAGGTACATACATGAGAACTATACTAAATACTAGGTA